AAAATTGAGAGAGAGAGAGAGATACAAGGGGCAGAGAGAAAGCAAATGAGGCAAAATTTTAATAACTGGGGAAATCTATGTGAAGAGTATATCAGTGATTTTTACTATTCTTGCCATTTCCTTTAGGTTTGAAAAATTTGAAACTGAAAAGATGAGAAAAACAAGTATCTGTAGGGGAGGAAAAATAACTTTCTTCTTCCCTTCTATGTTCTTGGCCAAGACACCCCTATATAAAAAGACAGATTAATGGGAGAAAAACAAATTTAATTATGTATGTATGCATGAATAGGAGCCCCTCAAATGAGACTCAAAGAAGTTACCAGAGCAGGCAGCTTTTATACTTTTTAGACAAAGAAATAAAAAGTTTGTGTAGAATTGACAAAGCAGAGGGTTTTGGGCTTGGAGTGGCAAATGGTAAAGAATGAACAAGGTTTATAAAGTCTTCTTGGCCCTAAATTCCCTATCTCTGGTGATAAGGTTGTCTTCTATCCTCCTGGTACAGGGAGTGTATCTTTCACATGGGAGATTTATTTGCTGCTTCCAGGGGGACAGAGGAAGTTCAAAATGTCCTTCTTAAACTGTTTCTTAACTATCTTTATTCAAAATAATCAATATGCCAATGTAGCATATTTTAGGGTGACATATTCTGAACCCCTACACATACAAACAACACCAAAATGCCCTGAAGAATGATCCAGGAATGACTGAAAATGATCAAGGGCTTGGCATCAAGGCAGATGTGGATCAGAACATACATGATTTTCATGTATCATGGGTAGTCTCCTTTGGAATTCTTCCTTTGGGTGTGGGACTTGTGTACTTGAACTATTTCTTATAAAAGAATACCCAGTGGCAACCTTCCAAATGTATTTTATGGGCAGAATTTATCATCCTAATATAGACAAGTTGGGAAAAATCTGTTTAGACATTTTGAAAGACAAGTTGCCCCCAGCACCAGAGATCAGCAGAGCTCCGCTCATCATCCAGATGCTTTGGCAAATGATGGAGGGACACAGGAAGTAGTAGAAGACAAAGGAAGCTGAGATTATTGAAGCATTTAGGGCGTGAACCAGCTATTCAATTAATAATATTTCAATTGGTCTGATCATCAAGTATATATCGCTTCTCCTTTTTGGCTAACATGTCTTTTTTTGTTATTTCACTTCATGTCTTTGGAATATTACAGAATAAAATCCAATATCTCTTCAAGAAAATGGCAGAGAGAGAGAACTTATCCTATTATCACTGAACTTTTAATTTTTGGTTCTTTTGGTCCATAAACCTCTGCAAAAATGATCATATTAGGAGATCTTAATTTGAACCAAAACTTAAGGTGGCTACCTCATTAGTCCTTGTGTCAGGTTAACTTTGAGCTGACAAGAAAATACTTTCCAATATGGTAAAGGAGCAATTCTTGGACTTTAATGTGCATATAAATACTCAGGGATTTTTTTTTTTTTTTGAGAGAGGGAGAATGTGTGTGGGGGGGTGGGGGAGGGGTAGGGGAGAGGGAGAGAGAGAATCTTAGGCAGGCTCCACGCTCAGCACAGAGCCCAATGGTGGCTCAATCTCACGACCCTGAGGTAATGACCTGAGCCAAAATCAAGAGTCAGACACTTAACCAACTGAGCCACTCAGGCACCCCTACCCAGAGATCTTCTTAAAAACACAGATTTGGATCCAGCTGATCTGGGGAGGAGCTTAAAATTCTGCATTTCTCACAAATTCCCAGGTGATGCTGATACTGCTGGTCCATGAATCACATTTCAAATAGCAAGTAGAGGACAAAACAAATCTTTGCACTCAAAGGAAGGTATTACCTTCTTTGGCTCTTGGTTTCCTCAGTTGTAAAATGGAGAAAATGCATATATCAAATTCTTGTGAAGTTGAAATGAAATAAGCATTCTGAAAGTACTTCGTAAACTTTGCTTTCTCTATTATTAAATTTTTTTTTTTTTTTTTTACTAATACCATATTGCTTTACAAATCCTTCCTCTGCAGAGAACTTAAAAACAAAGATGGGTTGGAGCACCTGGGTGGCTCAGTCAGTCAAGCATCTGACCCTTGGTTTTAGCTCTGATCATGATCTCAAGGTTGTGAGCTCAAGCCCCATTTTGGCTCTGCACTGGGCATGGAACTTGCTTAAAATTCTCTCTCTCTCACTCTCCGTCTGCCCCTCCCCCCTCTCAAAAATAAAAAGAAAAAAAGGGAAAGGAAGGGATGCCAGGTGCAGGAAATTTATGCTGCATTGTTGCTATTCAAGGCTCTTGACACTAATGTGGAAAGTGGAGACCACGAGCAAAATTCATTCCGATGGACAATGCTGTTGAACTATTAAGAATTCTAAAGATTTGATACTTTGATACCTTATTGCAAAGCTATGAAAATTGATTCTCTTTTTCTGAAAAGAAGTTAAGTTTTGGATTTCCATTATACATCATCCTTCCTAAGACTGACTAGAACCTCTCTTCTTTCCCTAACCAAGCACCAGTCAAAATAACAATGGACATTTCATATTGGATTTGGGGAAAGTGATCAAACAGTGAAGCCATAATCTAGTAATTGCAATTATATTATTTTCAAATATAATCTTCAGGCACTGTGGAATGAGAGAACTCTAATTTTAAAAAACCAAAGATAAAGCAATTGATCAGCTATTGAATATCAATAGGACTTCCAGAAAACAGCTGAGTAAACAAACAGGCAGTGCTAAGATTTTATTTCAATTAAGAACAAACAGTTACAGAACATAGAAATCCTTTTGGAAAATAAAATTTTAACACTAAAGTTAAAATTCAAAGCTAACAAGCTTCACTTCCTAGAGATATTATGAGATTTTTTTTTTTTTTTAAATAATGGGCAATTCTCACAATGGTGAGAAGTGATAACAGCAGAGGTGGTCAGATGGAGTCTGAGCCATTTACCTTAGACTCCCACATTTGGCTAGACTCAAGTTCCCATAGAAAGAAATTATTTTCCAGTACTTACAAGAATAGAACTGAGGGGCGCCTGGGTGGCTCAGTTGGTTAAGCGACTGCCTTCGGCTCGGGTCATGATCCCGGGGTCCTGGGATCGAGCCCCGCATTGGGCACCCTGCTCCACGGGAGGCCTGCTTCTCTCTCTCCCACTCCCCCTGCTTGTGTTCCTGCTCTCGCTGTGTCTCTCTCTGTCAAATAAATAAAAAATCTTAAAAAAAAAAAAAAAAAAAAGAATAGAACTGAGATGCCATGCCAGTATGAGTTTAAAAACAAGGAGTTTTTTTTTTTTTTTTTTTTAAGATTTTATTTGTCTGCGAGAGAGAGAATGAGAGACAGAGAGAGTGAGAGGGAGGAGGGTCAGAGGGAGAAGCAGACTCCCTGCTGAGCAGGGAGCCCGATGCGGGACTCAATCCCGGGACTCCAGGATCATGACCTGAGCCGAAGGCAGTCGCTTAACCAACTGAGTCACCCTGGCGCCCCAAAACAAGGAGTTTCTTAAACTCCACTGTCTTTAACTGCCTACAATTATATTAGCAACTAGCTTGAGGGAAGGTGGTAGCAGTGATGGATTCCCTGTGTGGGGTAGAAGAGAGGAGGCTATTTGATAAAGGTAAGATGATCCCCGGGAAAACCAAAGTCCTATTTTACTTCAAAATTTAAAAACATTTATACCCTGCATAATTATGACTACACAAATCTAACATACATTTAAGATTAAATTGTTAACTGATGTCTTTACAATCTCATTGTATAATGAAAAATTCAGGACTATGTATTTTATTCTTTTTTCCTTTTCATGTTATTATCAATGTTCTCAGAGATCCTAGTCATTTTTCCCATTATTTAAAAAAAATCTGATTTCCTGTTTATTTTACTCTGTGTCTGAGTTATTCCTTCTTACCCTATCTTCACACCCCCTTGTTGGTTGGTGTCAGCAGAGGTCTGGAGCGATGGCTATTGACTCACTACCTTGTCACCTATGTGTGTTTGTGCTGAGTCACACATTTAAAGGGGAGGGAATAGGAAGGATCCGGAGGAGAGAATAGAGATTTTAATGAGACAACTCAACTGATAATATCGGCCCTACCACATATGACTTATCTCCATAAGGATTGAGAAAATATGAGTTTTATAATTTTTATTATTTTTTAAGATTTTTATGTATTTGAGAAATTTGCATGTATATTGTCTGTCCATATCTATACATGGCATGTGAGTAATTCTTAACGATGCACATGAATATGCATGAATATTATAAGCATACTTGGGTAGACCTGGTAAATGTTAGTAGATTTTGAAAGAACAAAGCAGGTGAAACTGAGTGTTGTTGGAGTGGGGGGTGGGGTGGGAGGGATGGGGTGACTGGGTGATGGACACTGGGGAGGGTGTGTGCTCTGGTAAGCGCTGTGAATTCTGTAAGACTTGAATCTCAGATCTGTACCTCTGAAACAAATAATGCAATATATGTTAAGAAAAAAAAAAAGAAGAAGATAGCAGGAGGGGAAGAATGAAGGGGGGAAATTGGAGGGGTAGACGAACCATGAGAGACTATGGACTCTGAAAAACAAACTGAGGGTTCTAGAGGGGAGGGGGGTGGGAGGATGGGTTAGCATGGTGGTGGGTATTGAGGAGGGCACATTCTGCATGGAGCACTGGGTGTTGTGCACAAACAATGAATCATGGAACACTACATAAAAAACTAATGATGTAATGTATGGGGATTAACATAAGAATAAAAAAAATCAAAAAAAAAAAAAAGAAAGAGGCAGCAATGGTAATTTTATAAGCTGTTTAACTCAGTAAGTCAAATTTGAACAGGAGTCAAGTCAAACTTGTTGAGAACGTTTATTGCTGCCAGTGGAGATGAATGAAGTGTAGACTCCCTTTGTCAAGATGAGCCAAGGCGAGCGGGCCCTCACTCCTTGGCCAGGCCTTTGTCCCTGGACTGTCACGGTCAGGCTGGTGGGAGGCCGCGGCCCCTTCCTCTGGGACCCCCTGATGGTAGTGCCTGCTCCCCGGTGACTAGCTTCGCTGCACAGTTTGAAGCCGCTTCAGTTTTGTTTTTTGCCTTCGAGCAGTTCTCAGTTTTTTAGTTTTCAAGAAACTGTCCTCTAATTGGTATAGGAAGTCTTCAATTCGCCCAACCTAGAAGAAATAAACAGACATAACAAGATTTGTGGTTGTGTTTTCCAGGTTTAGTGTAGTTAGGAAAATGGTGAGGCAGTTAAAATGAAAAGGCACATACAGGTCCACGTTGGAACAGAATTGGCAGAGATGGAAATGATTGAACGTAAAAGCTTCCTTCAGTCTCCATGTCGGGTTCCCTTATTTTAGGAACATGAAGCAGACATGCAGGCGTTTGCTTTACCACTCAGTCCTATGTCCTGGGTATGGAAGTGGGGACCATAATCACCCACTGTCTTTAATGGTCAGTAAAACCAGGGATTTCAAAAAGAAACGGTGAAAAAAAAAATTCCATTATCAAAAGGAAGAATGGAAACAAACAACCGCCCCCCCTGCCAAAAGTAAGAGTTTCTAGCATTTGTATGCCCCTGGCCAACTTGGGAGAAAAATGAATATTACACATTGTCTTAGCAAGAACCATTTCTCCTTTAAATCAAAACACAATTTTGGGGAAATACATTTTCTTAAAAAATGCCACACCCCAGGGAATAAGATAAAGTAATGATATACAAAAATGGGGCGCCTGGGTTAAGCGACTGCCTTCAGCTCAGGTCATGATCCTGGAGTCCCGGGATCGAGTCCCGCATCGGGCTCCCTGCTCAGTGGAGAGCCTGCTTCTGCCTCTCTCTCTGCCTGCCTCTCTGCCCACTTGTGCTTTCTCTCTGTGTGTCAAATAAATAAATAAATAAAATCTTTAAAAAAAAAAAAAAGTAATGATATACAAAACAATAATTCTTAAAAATAAACTATTAGTCTTTCTCCAAAGAAAACTTATAATTATTCAGTGACTGTTGGTTGAATATGTTGTACTATTTGTCACTATTTTATTCTACTAAAGAATTGTAGAATAAAACAGTTTACATATATGCTGAGTTGGGCTCCCATCAAAGTCTGTAGATATAATAATTCATACTTAGCCCTGACTCCCAGCACTGCATATTGTATTAGCCTAAAGTCACTCACTGAGAGCCCATTGTCATAAAGTTAGCTCAAAGCTAGAGCACTTATTATTTAAGGTACACGAACATATCATCTACTTAAGATAAAAGCACTTAAACTCTAATTTTCCAATTTTGAGTTCTACTTTTAAATCACTTGATTTATCATTCAGGGCAATATCCAAAAGATAATTCAGATTGTCAAAAAGAGAATAATAAATGGTAGCATTCATCTATATGTTATGCTTTTATTACACCAGGTGATATAAATTGTCCATTGGTTTCCTTAAGAAAATAAGATAATTTATTTATGTGAAAACAATTGTTTTTAAAAACCTAAAATCACTTTAGGTAAATTTCTCCAAAAGCACATTGTTGTTTATGATGTCTGATCATAGTGGCAATCATCAAAATAATTTGACATGAAGATGAAGCCAGTGAATTATTCTATGTATTCCATACATTTATACTATCCAACTTACACCAAAATCATAAGTAAAAAATTAACACAGAGCACAATCAAAACAAACATAATGGATGGCACTTTACCGTTATTTCAATAGTTGATGACTCACTCATGTTTTTGCACTGAAAATGTATCATTTAAATCAAAGCTCTTTACAATTAGAATGTTTGCAATTAGTCCAAATACAATTTAAAATTACAATCCTAATGCAACAAAAAAGCTTCTTTCAATGATAATTGTTTTAAAATATCCATTAGGTGGCTGCTGCCTTTTTTCCTGTTGAAATTGTATTTATTAACTGCAGTTTTGACTAACTGGGTTGCTTTTCATTAAAAAAGACAAAGAAGTACATAGGATGTCTGCTTGGAACAAAGAGTACTGTTAAATTAAGCTGGAGGTCTAGAGTATACACTACCTACATGTCTTAGCCTGGCCTGTCTGTTTACCTCCTATCTGGTCTGTCTACATGCTATCCTTTCAACCCATTCTCCTACTGGTACTGGAATGATCTTTTTAAAATGTAGGTCCGGTCACATTTTTCCTTGCTGAAAATACCTAAATGGATTCCCAAGCCCTTAACATGGCCTACACAGTTTTGAGTGATCTGGTTTTACTTGCATCTCTATTTCTGTCTCCTATCACTCCATTCTCCTCAGTATGTAGTACATCTTTCAGTTATCTGAACATAGCAGTGCAGTGTTCTCTGCACCCTTGATCTTCTTAATGATATGCCATGTGATGGAATACTCCCATTGGAACCCTTAAAATTCCTCTGGATTTCAAGTTCAACATCAATGCCTGAGAGACATCTTCTTTGATAATCCAGACTAGGTTGGGTCTCTCAAAAACATATATATTCCCATAGCAGCCCATTCATCTCTTTGCAAATTGTAATTTTTTTTACCTAATTGTTATAATGATTTATTTAATATTTATTTAATATCCCATCTGGGTTTTAAGGTCTCTAAGGCAGGAATGAGGTCCATGTTGTCCACTATTCCCAGCATCTAGGATATGGTAGACCCTCAGTAATCCTCCTCTTTAAGAATAGAGCTGAAGACATTCAGCAACCAATTTGTTTTTCCAGATTCACAGTGATGTCTGGTATGCAGCACATCAGAAGGCTTTCTTTTCTCTTACAAATTAAATAATCACCACTTTCATGTGCCATCATTTTATCATCATTGTTTAGCTTTGAGAGTCTCCAGGCAAGATACCAACAAGGTGTGATCTCCATACTTGAAATGGACTGAGGTAGAAAGGGCAACAGATGAAGAGAGTCAGGAGTGTTGAGTTCTGCTTGTGGGCTGGCTTATAACCCTGATCTGTGACCCCAGAGAAGTCACTTGGCCTCTCTGAGCTTCAGCTTAACTGACCTTGGGTGAAGAAAGTGTTCACCTGGATAATTTCCAAGGACACATCAAGCCAAAAAATTCCATGACTTGTACTCACATCAGCTCTAAGTTAGTCCAATCTTACATGAGTCTTCACATTTTTCAAATCAGAGGTTATTCTCTTAGATTATACCATTAGATGAATGACACACTATGCAGTAAAGTAAGTCAATTTTAGCTTCTATACTTTCTGAAGTATAGGAGAGCTGCAACATGTTTTTAGTAAAGCTGGTTCTTTATTTTCTTTTTTTAAGTCAAGGAAAGAAAAATGCCAGTTGAAGAGAAAATAGATTCATATAACTAAGAAGAACAGATTGCAAACGATAGAAATTTCTATAAAGCCCTTAGGGAAATAAAACACAAAGAAATATGTAAGCATGCAAGGAAGAGAAATGAGCCAGTTTTTGGAGCAGAGGCCTTATTAGACTTTCTTTTTGGTACAGAATCTACTTGCTTAACTATATCAGATAGTCTACTTGGTCATTCTGGGTCTAATTTTCCCATTTGCAAAATGGGCAGATGGCATTTTTTTTTATGTATCTATGTGCCAATGCTGACTTGGCTTTACAGAACTATGGACATCAGAACAAATGAGCTTTCAGAGAATTTTGGGATGTCAGATGATCAAGGGGACTGAAGGTCTCAGTGAGAGGGCAGATTCTCACCTATCATATGGCCATCAATCATAATCTACATCAAAGTGTAAGGAAATTATTATCAACTAGTTTTTCAGGACCCTTAAATCTTATACACAAAAATCTTTCAGTCATGATTTAGTGTAGATTCAAGAAGTTCAGAACGAAGTTCAGAACTCTGCAACTCTAAAAGAGAAGACAGCCTGAGAAGTAATAGATTTTGAAATTAAAATTTTAACCGTGCAAAAATAAATAAATACCAATCTGTAAGAAATGTGGAGGTAACTAAACAGACCAACTTATATTAGAGGAAAATTTCTAATCAACTCAGATTTCAAAGGGAGCACATTTATTCTTTCATGCAAATATTTATTGAACATTTACTATGTGCTTGGCACTGTAATAGGGTGATAAGCAAAAATATCAAGATATTTGTTTATGAGTAACTCATATTCATGTAGGAGAGGCTTAATGAAAAAATGATTACAATAAAGCATAACTGCTTCTGTAAGTTAATATATGAAAAGTTCTATTGGCAAAAATGTCAGAACAGTGAATTCTACTTGAAGGAATGTGGACATGCATTGGGATGATAGGAGCTGGCTCTTTGCCAGGACAAGAAGTGCATTCCAGATAGAGGGAAGGGCATCCATAGAGCCATGTTGTGAAAGAACATGGGCTATTTGATAGGGATAAGTCTTATAGCATAGATGTAGGCATCGGGAGACTAGGAGTAGAGATACATACAGCAGGAAATATTGATTGGGGTCAGCTTGTAAAAAGTGGAAAAATATTTAGCCATGTGCTTAGAAAGTAAATCTGGTACCATTATGTGGAGTGGAATGCAGCCAGGGAAACTAGAGGCAGGTGAATCAATTAGGGGACCGGTGTAATTGGATATGGAAAATGTTATGAGGGCCTGAATCAAGAACTTAAGGGATATTTGGAAGTAAACTCTATAGACTTGATGAAAAATTCTGTGTTGGGACAAGAAGGTAAGCAAAATTAGGAATGACTGTGAAGTTTCTAACTTGAGATAATGATGATTTTTAATGAGATAAGAAATACAATTAGGTGAACAGTTTTAGGGAAAAGAAATGATTTTGATTCATGACAAATATAAGAAATAGAAAAAAGTTCACATAATCAGAAATTAATTAAAAATGGACCTATAGTAATAGCCTAGTACTAGGCTAAAAGCCAGAATGGAACAAAACTCCAAATTTAAAAAAACCCAGCAACCTACCATTTTGCAGCCTACCATGTAAAAAGCATCCTACCAGTTAAAAAGTGCTAAGAAAAACAAAAAGGATGCTTTCAGTTATTCAGAGTGATTATCACAGAGATACGGTACTGGATCGAAGTCAGATATACCTGGTTTGGAATTCCAGCTCCAGCATTTACTTGTTGTGTGACTTTGTGAAATTTTATTTAAGTTCTTAAAACCTAAGTTTCTTTTTCTATCAATTGCTTCACAGGATCCTAGTAAGATTAAATTAATTTATGTGAAATATTTGCGTAAGTCTGT